CCTGTTTTTTTGCTAACCTGTTTTGAAACTTTCATTGCTATTTTTTCTCACTAAAATGAATAAACAATTTAAAAAACAATTAAATCAGAACATAAATGTAAAGAGCTAGATGAAAGCATTCTAGAGGATAAGGATGATGATGAAATTAACAATATGCATAAAACCCACACTATGAATTTTCTAATAAAGATATTCTACACAGAAGAAAAAGAAGCTATTCAGGCTCAAAAAATCTGGATGAAAGTCATCATGCTTGTATGGAGAGCTGCAACTAATCATAGATATGCCAATGTCTTTCTGCAGCCTGTTAAAGATGATATAGCACCTCTGTACTACAGCATTGTGCAAAGACCTATGGATTTGTCAACTATTATGAAAAGCATTGAAAATGAGCTGATTCACAGTACTGATGAAGTTCAACATGACATTATGCTAATGTTTCAGAATGCTGTCATGTATAATAGCTCTGAACATGATGTTTATCACATGACAGTAGAGATGCAGTGAGATGTTTTGGAACAAATACAGCAATCTTTTTTTTTTAATTTTTAAAATTTTTTATTTATTTATGTGTGTGTGTGTGTGTGTGTGCATGTGAGTGTGTGTGTGTGGCCAGCTCAGTCCACTAGGGGGCGGGGCTGGCTGGCATGTGGTGCTGGGGGATTGAACTGCTGTCCCTGTGCTTTGTTAAGCTTGTTCTAAGTTGATGTTTTAGACCACTGAGCCATCTCACCAGCCCCAAATACAGCAATTCTTGGCCACACAATTGATTATGAAAACATCTGAATCTGGGATCAGTGCTAAAAGTCTCCAAGGGAAAGATTCTACCCCAAAACAGGATGCTTCTGAGAAGGAGTGTCCCCATGGGCTCTCCTACCATCCTTCTCTCTCTCTTTGATGGTGGAACGAGGAGACACCACTGTGCCATTGAAGTAGACATGAAGATGAAAAACTGAAACTTTAGAGTATCATCTTTGAGCTGAACCTAAAACTGAAGTAAACAAGATAGAGCTTGGCTTGTGGGCCAAGTTCTGCAAGTGGAAGTTACACAAGGAGGTGACTGGGCCACACGACATGAGCTGAAGAAATGTCAGAATAGCACAGTTGCCTCTTTTATGGCAAAAATCATGGGCTATGTTAATGCCCCAAAGTGTAGCTAGGAGATTGTAGCTAGTTTTTACTGTTTTGTGAAGTATACAGACTTTAAAAAATATAAATCTGTGAAGTGCGCATGTATAAATAAACTGAAAGAAAACTAAAAAAAATCCAGCTTATCAACTTAAACTTCCAACTTTCTTGTGAACCTGTACGCTAGGTTCTTTTAACACAATAGAATTAAATTAGAACTCAGCATAGAGACATCTCATATTCTATTTATTATAGTGTTTGAATTGAAGACTCACTTATATATAAAACATAAAAATTAGGTCCATTCATGCTGCTGTAAATGAACAGAGAAATAGCTTATTATGTAAAATAAGAGAGAAATAAATATCACCTGCCCTCACTCATTCATAGAAATAAATCAATCTTATAAAAGAATACAATGGTATTCTTGCTACAAGAGCCTGTGAATGGTAGTGGGAAAGAAGTCATATTAGACTGGAAGAATAACTCTTTTCTTTAGCAAAGTAAAGTACCCATTGGACAAAACAGCTTATAATTCAAAATGAGTGGAAGAGATCTTTGACTTCTTTAGTTAGGTTAATTCCAAGGTATTTCATTTTCCGCAGTGCTATTGTAAAAGGTATTGTTTCTCTAATTTCCCTCTCAGTGTGTTTGTTACCTGTGTACAGGAATGCTATTGACTTTTGAGTATTGACTTTGTATCCTGCTATGCTACTGAATTTGTGTATCAATTCTAGTAGCTTCTTGGTGGACTTTTTGGGTCTTCCAAGTAAAGTATCATATCATCTGCAAATAACAATAATTTAACTTCTTCTTTACCTATTTTTATTTCTTTTATTTCTCCCTCTTGTCTAATGGCTCTAGCTAATGATTCCAAAACTATATTGAATAGGAGGACTGCTAGACTGTGTTAGATTGTTTTGCTGAATTCATGCACCTTCAGTATTTAGATGCCAATGGAATACCCATTTCTGACAGGACTAAACAAAAAAAAAGGCAATACAAAAGAGGGACAATTTTGCATCTGTATATGCAGAATGGTTAGGATAGATATTTAGCTACTTTCACTTAATTCAATGAGAAGAAAGATTTGTACTAATAGTGTTTGGACACGATACCATGTCTGCATCTTGTACTATGGATAACCACTAAGAAAATAACAATGTACAATGTATAATTATTGAAACTGTCCTATTAATCAGTTTTGTAACTGTCTCATTGATATTTGTTTCTCAATAAAACAAAATAAAAAATAAATGGAGAAATCCCTAGATACATATGAATTAGCAAAACTGAACCAAGAAGACTTAAAAATCCTGAATAATTCAACAGTATTAATGAAATTTAAAAAAAGCCCACAAAATGAGTGGAAGAGTAAAATATTCCAAACATGAAAGTGTTTATGGTTGAAGAAATAGAAATGTGCATTACTTTAGTGTTATTATTATATATTATATGTAAGTATTGAATTACCACAGTTTTCCCCATAGAGATATGCAAATTCAAAAAATTGTAGAAAATAAAACAATAATATAGAAATAAAAGAAAAATCTTAAGTTTCAAAGTGTCTTAAACTGAATTAAAAGCTACAAAGAACATAACAAAACTTGTGTGCAGCTATAAATAGTGGATAGAAAGAAGTTTTTGACAATGAAG